AATACCTCTCTACAAAGACATTGAACAGACATGGCCCTGCTATGGCAGGACCACAGGAGCAACACTGTGTACAAATATAGAACACAGACACGAGACAGAAATCCTGACATTGCAAATTCTTAAGTAACCACTGGTAAAGTGAGGCCAAGATGACATCTGTTGATTTATATTGGCTAGTTTGGATAAAGTTTATTGTAGCTTTTTTTTTTCTTTTTTTTTCAAGAAGTTTATCATAGTTTACATATAAAAACATAATAATATTTTTCTCATTGGAAGCATTGACTAAGTGCTAAGTGTTTGAGACAGAATAGCAAAATTTATTCTTAAATAATAGAAGTGTTGCAAACACATTTTTAAGGTTTATCAGTTCTCAACAAGCATGGGCCATGGACAAGACTCCTCTGAATCTGTCCATACTAATTGGGTACTCACAAACAGAAAGTGGATGTGGTCAGAAAATCAGTTACATAAATTATAACTTCTAGAAGATAAAAGAAAAGAAAAAGCTTTAAAACTAGCCTTCTTCATATTAAATGTGAATATTGACACTTGCAGTCTCTGTTTAGAAACCTCCCAGAAAAATTTAATAACATAGCAGCAACTAAAACAAGAATATAAATCGTACCTGAAAAATAACATCTCCAAACTTCTCCCTAGCAATCCCTGTACCAAGAATTGCGCCTAGGAAGTCACCATGAGAACAAGGTTGAAACCCAAAGTTTCCCGTGATACTAGAAGTAACCATCAAAGAAAAAAATTTAAAAAAAGGCTTCACATTGATTAAAAGATGGATGATTCTAAGCATAAAAATTGTAGAGATATAATATTGCTTACCTCAATGCAACAATAATATCAGGATCACTTGTCAAAAGTTCTGGATGTCCAACTGAGATTCGGCACCGCTCAGCCTAGACAATTTGAAGAAGCGAAAACATATGTTAATTAATACACACACACACTGATATGCATCAGCATCAAATAGAGCTGGAACTATTTAGTTCAACCTGTGGGTATCCACCCTGAGCAACTGCTTTCAAATCAGCTAGCTTTTCCAATGCTAGCATCGACTCCTTCAACACTGGAGGGGTGAGAAAATTTGTATGGAGAACTTCTCTTCTTAATGACGCACGTCTAGCCTGCAATAAATGGAAAACAAAGATTAAAAAAAAACCTTAGAAACATATCTACATTTTCTAGTAACAAGTAAAGCAAGACCTATGGTGAGCTTACATCCATCTGTCAATTTCCAGTGATAAATAGGCTATACTCTTATTTCGAAAGGTCCAAAAATCTGAACTTTGTAGTTTTCTCTAAAGGGGGTAAACTAAGAAATAAATTTCATCTTGATAAGGTACAGCCAGCTGCTACATTTACAGAATGGTAATACAAGTTTTCAAGTACCATCTCAAGAACGTGCTTTACTTCTTCAATAACAGTTTTGTCCACCACTCCTTTAAGTAAATCATCATCATCCCTCTTTACAGCTTGAGCTAAATGGCATATTCCTGAAGCTGCATTAAGAAGAGCAATAACATATTACATACCAAATAACCGATGCTCATGCAGCTAAGTCTATTTTAATATGTGTGAGGAAAAATCATTGACCAATCACACATTCAACTTATCCAACTTGTTTTTACCCCAAAAGAAAAAAAAAAAAAAAAAAAAAAAAAACTTATCCAACTTGAATATGCCTGATTTTGGACAAATTTTTTGCAATGCCTTTTCAGCATTTAAGTTCAAATGTCTCTCTCTTTGTTTTTCTTTTCAATCTTTGACAACCAAATCATGCACTAGTTGGATTCGAAGTTGTTCCTTCTCATATACCCACAAATCATCCAAAAGGGTAGTCAAAATTACAAGAAATTAGCACAAATACAATGGAGAGGGAAAGCAACATCATTTATGCTTTAATAATCTCAAGTACCAAAAACGCACATTCGCACCTGAAGAACTCAAACGAGGACTGAGAGGAAAGGTGACAAGGGTCCTGTGGTAAGAGACCTTGTTGTTTATGAGAGGATGGGACAGAGCAAAAGCCACAGCTGCTCTTCTTACAAGTGACGCTGCAACGAAACTGGTGGCAGCCATGGCCCTATGCACAATGCGCAGGCCAAGTGGGTTGAGAGGAGAAGTATATGAGCCTTGTAGTGGGCTTGGGGTTTCACAAATTTTAGCCCAAACATTTTAGGACGTTTTTAAGGGAAATTCAATTGGGACTCAAAGAAACTCCCATCATTTTAATTAATATTTCTTTTCTAGACGTAAACGTAGGGGCATGGGTTGGGTCTTTAGTCCCAACAGATAATTTAAAATTAGCTTATTATTAGGCCAACTCAAATTTTTGTGATCGAATTGAGCGATTCGGTCAAGTTAACTCAAAATGAAATTTACTTTTAAGTTTTGGTTCCAATTCGTAACTCAACTCGTACATACCGATTTATAATTTTTTTAACTCAATACTCATTCATTTTTAGACCAACTCAACCCAATCCGTTATAATCAGGTTAGGCGGTTCAATCGAGTTGACCCGAAATTGTCCTCACCCCTACCTAAAAGCATAACTTTTTTGTGGGCTTTTCTCACATCCTTGCTTTCTTCATATCATATTGATTGCGTTTTTATAGCATTTCCCATTGTTCGTAATTTGACAGAGATCTCACGAGAGTTTTTTTGGTGTTGTTGAATAAACAAGTACAATCATATAGAGAGGGAGAGAAAATAATTAATATATTAACGTGAATATATATTTGCTAATAATCTGCAATAGTGGAGGAAACTAAAATTTTAATATTGATGAGCCTATCCTTTTCATTATCATTTCCCACATACAATTTAAAGAACTGGTAAGAACTTTCCTTCTTTTCTATGCAGCAGGAAGAGTGTGCTTTCCAAGAGGAGTGGGCACGACACCTTCACGGCGTGCGCATGTTGCTTTTCAGCGGCCTTGTCACTTCCAGCGGTATTGAGGTTGGAAAGTATTGTGGTTTTACCACCTCTGCAATGAGGAATATGTCACGTCCAGTTGAACAAGTCTATGCCTAGTTGAGGTTCTTCCGAAGGCATCGATTTTAGTGTTGAATTCAAGATGGGATCCGGTAGTGGTGGTATTAGTTTTCAGATAGGATCTGGGAGTAGCGGTGAATGCAAACATTGACTGCCTTTGTACAAGTAGAAACTTCACATTCGTTGTAAACCCGAGATATGATAACATGGAAGTGCATAGAAATTCCAATTTAAAAAAACATAAACAAATCAAACAAGTAATCCAAAAAGGGTAATTAAGGCGATCACTTTTTTTTTATGTGCAGCAATTTAAAATTCCAGAGATTATTTCTTCTTCTTTTTTTCTCTTTGCAGGCTGGTCTGCCCTAAGAGTACACCCAATGTTCACCCTCTTGCACCCAACAGAATCAGACGTCTCATTTACAGCCAAAATTTCTTTTTTTTTTTGGGTGAATGGCGTCAGCTTTGATACTCAACTCAAACTATATTGAGTTAAACGATCACTTTTCTGTGCTAGTACCGATGATGATGTAGATAGAGAGATTCAGAGACATGCTTTCATTGAGTGCCAATCCAATTTAAGGATGGACACTCGTTTACCCTCAAAATCAATCAATGTATTCGGGTAATTAAATTAAATATAAAAAAAATTAATTCGATGACAAGACTGAACCTTAAGCAAATTATAACTTATTATTATTAGAAAAAAATACTTGTAATATACATTCCAAAATCAATGGACACTTTAAATTTTCTTCTTTCAATCTCCCTACCCAAGCAACCAAACAGCTAATGGGGAATGATCTTTCCTCGGTCTTCTCACTAATTTCATTCAAACATTCCCTTCTCCCCAACTCCTCCGTTAAATCATCACCTTTCGCTTCATTCTACCTTATCATCGTGGCAAAAAAAAAACTTTCTTGAATCAGGAATAATACTGTTTTGGGGGGTGTGTGTGAGAAATTTATCCTCTCCTGTAATTTAGATTATTGCTTGTACTAAAAAAAATTTATATGTTCTTAATTATATAGAATGGATGTTACCCAACATAGCCTAGACAGTGGATTTCGGTTAACTCGTAAGGCAGATAAGCTAGTATGAATGCAAAAAGAATCAGACATTAGGGGCGACTATTCCATAGATGACGAGCCATCCAATACAAATAGGCAATTGTAGGTTAGAGCAGTTGGCCAAAACAGTGTACCCTCTCCTTGCATACAAGTTCAACCATTTCCCCGTACATTAGAATAGTTTGAACTCATAAATAATAAGAGCCAAAAAGCGGAGTGAAGCACACCGGACTGACCAAGTCGGGTAATGCAAGTTAATCAGGGAGCGTTTGGTATCCTATTCAAATTGGGAACTCAAGAACTTTGATTTTTCTTAAAAATAAGGATTTCTTAAATCTATTTTTAAGATTCAAAAACTTGTTTGGTATGCAATTTGAAAACTGTTTTCAAATCTTAAAAATTTGAGAACTTGTGGGTTGTTAGAAAAAGAAAAAAAAATTGAAAAAACAGATATTTTTTATTTTTAATAATTGGGGTGTTTTTCAGTTATTCTTGAATTTGAGTTATTAAAAATAGGATTACCAAACATGTTTTCTTTGTTTTGGACTCAAATTCTGTTTTTGAGTTTAAAAAATTGAATTCAAATTGATTCGGTTATGTGTCCACCCTTTGTGTTACTAATTAATGGAATGTTTAATATTTAATATTTAAACAAGTCAAAGCAAATATGTCCTGAACATATGACATTAAAAAAGGAAAAAAATTTGTCCTGAACATATGATTTTCCCTTATTCAAGCAAGTTGGAGAAAAAGCATTGAGCTTTGCTGATGCACTACACCTAAATCTTCAACAACAGTGCAGATGCAATTAATAAGCTTAGTGCATGCGCGTGGGGAAGCTAGTTTTGGAGTGCATTTACCATCCCCATATTTATATTGATCCGGCTAACCCAAAAATAAAAAATAAAATGGCAAAACCGTTCGAGCTTCTCTAAAGATAACATCCATGAAAAGGGGAAAGTCAAAATTTGAAATTACATCAACAAAACCAAATGTATGCTTCTTCTCCATTGAAAGATAGTTTCGACTGAGCTACCACCAACATTATGAGTTTTGAGTCCATCCTGAGCCTGACACAGGATGTAAAGAACAGGAACAACTTACTTTAACTAATAGAAAGACCTAGTCATTTGCGTGCTTCTCAAGCAGAAAACTTTTAGATCTCGACTCTTCTCTACCTCAGTTCCAGTTTAACTTCCTCAAAGAAGATAATGGTAACCGAGTGCTAGAAACAACACAACTAACAAAGCAGCAGGAGCAGCCCATAACCAATAGTTAGTACTTGACTTCTTCCGCTTCAGGATGGCCTTCGGAAGTGACTCTGCACCTCTTGGTCGACCTCTATTCCTCAGATTGCTATCCTTTTGCACCTTAGCCTTTGCAAGGACAGGAGCTTCAACATTTTCAGTTACCTTTTCTGGTTCTGCAGCCTCAGCAACTGCTTCTGTCGGCTCCTCAGGTTGGGTCTCAGGTGCAGATGAACCCTTCTTCTTTGCCTTCTTTTCACGCTCCTGAGTGAAGTCGAATTGGCAACTAGTGTCAGTTTCTAACTTCAAGCAGATTAACAAAGCGCAAGTAACAAGAATAAACAAATAAATAAATAATTTCCTTAAGCTTCTTTTCAGCCTTTTCAGCTTCCTTTTGAGCTCTAAGAGCTGCTTTAGCTGCATCTTTCTCTGCTTTCTTCTTCTTCCTTTCCAAGGCCTGCTTATTTTTTTCAATTTCCTCTTGTCTTTTCAACTCCTTCAACTTTTCTGCATCAACTTTATTGTCTTTTGGGGTACTCTCCTTTGTCTGCTTTTCAAGCCCAGATATATCCTCGTCTGCTACGTCAATATGCTCTTCAACAGATTTTGGACCCGTTGCTTTATTTTTGGCATCTTTCTGAGCCTTCTGCACGGGCAAAGTATCCAGTGGAGCAGATCTGGTATCTTCCCTAACTTGTTTTGAATTAGCTTTTGATGCTGTCTCTACTACAGGGGCTCCAGATGCTTCCACAGCTACCAATGGCTTCTCATCTGGGTTTCTTATACGCCCATCCCTACTCATTTGCCGCCTATCCAGAGCTGGCAAAATTCTTTTCTCATAATCATCTCTAAAATCCTTGTTACTGTTCCAGAGGGCCATAAATTTCTCAACCTAACAAAAAAAAATTAAAAATTTAGAATGCAGCTTCTACATTGATAATGGTGGAGTTAACTTATTATAAACAATGAAAATATTCATTTTGCAATTGGCAAACCTCTGCATGAGAAAGTTCTTCAAGTGCTTTAATATCCTTTGTAACAGCAAGATTTCTCGCTTTGGTCAAAAGCATACGGCTTTGGTAAAAGCAGGCATTCTGAAAATCAGTGCAAATTAATTAAAGGGTGACTATCACATACATAGATAAAATACAACCATTCATGTCAGAAGGGTAACTTAATGATGTGGGCATTAAGAAAATACTACTTTGGCATGCCTATAAATACTATATACTATATTAAGAAAACAGCAAATCAGACACAGAGGAAAGCACAAGTGAGAGATCTGAAACAAATAAAATGGTTTACCAATTTGCGCATTTACAATTTTAAATTTTCATATAGCAAAATAGTTAATGAGTGGTTATCTACCAAAAGAATAAACTCTTTTAAACCGAAAACAGAATAAAACTCAACTAGATTTCATACAAAATTTCCAAATTCCAATATGATTCTTCAAACATGGATTCAGCAGTTTTCACCTATTATAAGTAAACTCCACAAGGCACTAAATTTTTAAGAAGAAAAAAGGACTGATGCAAAGTGTTGCCAACAAGAAACGAAAACAACACGAGTTATAAGCAACCAGTAAACAAGGCACAAATGAGAAGCAATAAATAGAAAGCATACGTAACCCTAATTACCAGCAACTTTTGACTGTTTGAATCCTCTTCTGAACATATAAAGCAATCTAGATATTTGCAATTGAATTAAAAAGTGAATGCAACCAGTGAGTTGAGCATGTTTTCAGATTCAGCACTACCCTCCCTACAGTAAATGACAATTTACAACCCATGTATAAAATTTCAGAGAGAGAGAGAGAGAGAAAGAGAGAGAGAGAGTCGAGCAATGAGCAAAGTCAAAATGTATCTTTATACAAAAGAACAGAAATGTTGAACTGAGATGACTATTCCAATATACAATTAGCATATTAACCTAGTGTGAATCCAAAACCCTTCAAAGATCCCAAAAGGAAATGTGACAACCTTAGTTGAAAAGATTCAATTAAAGCTTCATAAAACCCCTCTCAACAATAAACATATTGGATTTTAAAGTAAAAGCCAAAAGAGGAAACAAAAGAAAACTATTCACTTGCTAATCCTTATCCAGTACATTTCGATCACTAAAACTTCATCTATGTGCATAAATACCCAACCCTTCCTTGAACCTTTCCGCGCCCAAAAAAAATGCTTCTTTCAGCATAACAGGCTGTTCTGAAAATAATTGTTTGCAGTGGAAAGTTAACAAACCAATAAGATCAGAATATCCCAATATTAGAGACTTACAGTTGACCCAATCATTCATCTAGCACCACTTTGGCCACATAGTTACAACAAAAGCACAAGGAACCGGGCTTGCAATATTGATGAAATAACAAACAATACTTCGAGATTTTGACTACCCAGAATAAAGTGAATTTAACTCGTACACAACTGGGAAAATCCACAGCTTTTGATAATCGGCACATGAGCAAAGAGAGAGAGGGAAGGGGACGCGCGAGAGAGAGAGGGGGGGGGGGGGAGGAACTAAAAATGAAGTAAAACTTACATCATCATCACGCTGTTTCCGAAGTTGAAAAATGCTATCGCGTGCTTTGTCCCTCTTCTCAGTCACAATACTCAGCTCGTCCTGTAATGATGCAATTTCCTTGTCTATGGCCTTCACTGCATCATCAAGTTGCTTAATTTTGGACCTAACTGCTTGTTGCTCCTTTTTCACTCCATCCAAATCACCACCCATAAGCTACAAACACACGATTTTGCAAATGATTAGTATACCTTACATAATTATGAGATTCTGCACAATTCAGGAATGGATTGAAACATAAAAAGCTCAAAAAGATACAAGTCAAATCAAAATCCCCTTACTTTAACTTGGTCCTGAAGGGCCTCTTTGGGAGCCACTTTCTCAATCTTTGCTATCATGGCAGCATTAGCAATAACTTGTGCCCTTGTGCTCTCAAGAGTTCTGATCTCTTTAAGTATTTTCTTTTCCTCCTTCAATTCAATGCTCTCATGTTGTATGATATACTGCAACCCCTGGATCTGTTTCCAACAGTATTTAAAGAGTGAAAAAGGCAAGAAGTCAAAAGAGCAAACTGATGGATTCAGAGCTGTAAAAAGCTTAAAAAAGAAAGCATACACGACTATTGAGCTCTTCCTCAGATGAACACAAACCACCATTACGACTAGCATGGTCTGCGCTGCGCAGCTGTCCGAGAGCCTGCTGCAGAGGCTGTAAATCCTTAAACTTCTCATCCACAATTGATCTAATCTGCCTGTTGTCATCTCTCAGAGCCTTAATCTGCTCAACCAACTCTCCTCTATCGGTCTGTAGAAAAAAGAGGAGGGGGACAATACAGTGAAATCAGAGGTTCATTCTTCTAAAATTTAAATAATAAATCCATTCAATCAACTTATTTCCATATTTTTCATTTTGATACTGCATATTAATTTAGATCAGCTTGAGCAAACAGGCACCCCAACATTGTTATAGAACATAACAAAACACAATATTGAACCGAATTGAATCTATAAGATATTTCCATAAAAGATCGAACAAGTCCAAAAACTTCTTTAAAAGTCAACATATGTGTGGTCACACAAACTAGGATAGTAGTTTAGGTAGGATGGTTTTTTTTTTTTTCAAAAAACATAAATTGTCGTTATTTAGTTAGTAATGTATAAGAGGGACACTTCAGAAAAACAGAGAAGTATGAAAACCAGAGGAATCTGCTCATCATAATAGCAGTGATATTATATATACACATATAATGTATGTGCACACACGTGCAGTATACATTCATTTTTCACATCAACTTTATGATCAATTTCCTATTTTTCGCATTGGTAGAAAGCTAGTTCAAAAATCTAATTACCTGCCAATCCATTTGCCAATTGTACAAAAGAAAGCCAACTTACAACTAGTGTCAAAAGCTTACTACGAAAGCTATGAGGACCACTTGTGAAAAAGCATAAAGACTCGCCTCTATATGTTTCTATGCTGTTCTTCTATAGTACCAATACCTGATTAGCTTCTACTACTTCTGACAATTTATTCATTACTACAATTTTTAAACATCTCTTTTCTTCTCCATTGAATCTCTCAATTGGTCTTCCACTTCAAAACTGGTAACTTTGGCGTGATTATACACGCAACCATAGTGTCCCCTCTGCCATTTGTCTCTAAATTTTTGCAGATGAAATGAAAGATTTGATTAAAGAAGAGTTGCAGATGTTCTCTAGTGTTTTCCAAATGAAAATTTATGCATTCATGGGTGTCTTTGAGCATAAATTTTATAGTTCTACGATCATATATCATCCGCATTTAATACTATAAGGAATAAAAATCTCAAAAGAACGAATGAGATTCACGAATAAGGTCATAAGCTTCAACTCACCCTTTTTGCTCTTAATGCGTCAATGATCTGAGATCGGGCATTATTCCTAGTCTCCACCTCTCTAGAAACCTGGTCAACTTTGGCTTTTATTTTTGGATCATCATACGTCTGGTACCTGACAAAATAAAAAGAATGAGTCTGCTTTGGGGCAGGCCACTCATCAACTGCATCCTTCGGGAAGTTTGCAACTGAAACCTCGTTCACTTCCTTTTTAACCGATTCATCACCATGTGATCCAAATTTTATGGGCTCATTTCCTTGATCCAATTTCCCATTTTCGTTGGCAGAATGCCCTCCTTCAGTCATAGCCCCCACTGGTCCTTGGACCGCCTCAAATCCCACAACTTCAACACCCATGCCTTCCGCCAAAGAACAGCCTTAGAAACCGAAAGTCCTGATGTAAAAAGCAATATCATGTTATATAAAGAAAAATAACGAAAACCCAGTCCAAATCTAGATTTGATTTAGCAGGCTTCTAGTTGAATAGATCACAGGGTTAACCGGCATATGCTTCAAGATATCACATTTTAATCGATCATATGAATACCTAACTAATCTGAAAATTACCGACTTCAATTCATATCATCAAAACAAACAAATCAAAAAATTTGAATCAAAATCCAGCATTATGTGGAGTGCATGAGCATCTAAAAGCTTCATAGATCATGAAAACTAAACAAATACAAAATTACCCAACACTCAAAAGATGTAAGTGCAGCCTCTAGATGCATTCAATCTATTGATTTTTCATTCATGAAAAAAAATATTATGATTTTTCATTCATGAAAAAAAATATTATGATTTTTCAAGGAAAGAACAAACAAATCTGAACAGTTACGCCCGTATCGCAATCAAGAAGCAAAACGATAGCAAAGAAAAACGCATCAAATGACAGATTCAATACATTCAAAAAGATCGGGACTTACATCAAACAAGCAACAAAATCGAAAAAAATTAACCCAACATATCTGATCTAAACACAATTCTTTTACCAAGAAAAACTGAGAGCAATCGGATCAACCCATTAACCAAAATTTTTTATAAAAAAATGAAGAAAACAAAATTGAAGCCAGAGGGAGATAGAGAGGTTGAGAAAATAGGGGATTCTTACCAGAAGCAGAAACAGACGGAAGCAGTAAAAGAGAAAGCGAGAGGGAGACAAAGAATATCCTTATGTAAAGAAAAGGGCCCCCAAAACCGAGTTTAGGAAAAACCCAGAAATGAAAAAAAATAAATTATGGTCGAGATCTCCTTTCCTTTTATTATTTCCCCTTCTCTTCTTCAGACCCACCCTTTTTCCTTCCCTTCAAAGTCTCTCTTTCTTGTTCCTATTTCCGAGAGAGAGAGAAGAGTGACTATATTTACTTTGTATTTATTTAGGGAGAGACATTTCAGGTGAAGCAGAAGATTTTGGCTTTGTTACAAAATAATAATAAGTGGCAAAGTAACCACTAGTATATAGTGGTTTGGAGTAAATAATTCCTAAGAAACTGAGTTCGAGTGCTACAGTCGCGTGTATGTGTTTAATATATTATCGCTTGTTTCAATAGGAAATGTCTTAAAAATAATAATGACCTATTTTTAGTCAAGAGATACTTCCTAAATTGTTTTTTATTATTATTGAAATACCAAAAGAAAAATAGTACAACAATTCATATATTTTAAAAGTTTTTAGTGCCTATATTTAATATATTAATATTCAATTTTGATTTTAGAAATCACAAGAAAAATAGTACAACAATTCATATATTATTTCTCTTGTTTTTCTAAAATTAATTTTTTTTTTAAGAGAAAATGTACCAGAAATGAAATAAACATTTTGGGGAGTTACCAAACATGGCGCTAGATTTACCGGCGTTGTAAAAGATAAAACGACACTGACAACGTGATAAATTTCGATACGTACAAGGAAACTTCGGTTACTCGAAACGAAACGACGTAGCATTGAGGGCCTTGACGTCAGCGATAAGTACTGTGTAGAGGCAGCTGCCGTTTTTGGCTTTGCGTTTTGGCAAAGTCTCTCTCTCGAGGCGAAGATTATAAACACGTCTACTTCGTACGCGCTGAGTTACGCCACGTTTCGTTAACGATCAGATCAGATGAGCTAGCTAGATCTGTAGATGTGGATTTGCATGACGTATGAAAGTACGAAACTGCCCATCTTGAATGGTTGCCAAAAGGGAATCTTGTATGCGTGGAGTGTAAAGTCTTACCAAATCCGGTGAGTTGGGGGAATGAATGAAATATTGCTGCGAGTAACTAAATATTAATGGGATTTGCTGTCATTTTACCATTTTGGACAATAAATATGTAGTTACTCCCATTAATAATTTCTATCACTACATATTTATTGTCCAAAATGGTAAAATGACAGCAAATCCCATTAATATTTAGTTGCGATAAATATCGCTTTGTTGCTGTTAATATTTAATGAGAAATTATCTATTAAAATAGTATCACATAGTTGCGATACTATTTTATTAATAAGATAAACAAAAATAAGTACAAAGCAACTAAGGTGCTTAATATGAATTCAATTTCTCCAGTGGCCAAACGCAACAAGAAATTGAATTGATATGAAAAAAATATGCACAACCCAAAAAATAATTAAAATCTCCGAACAAATAATCAAAAGCACATGTACTCAAACATACAATAAAAATTTGCCGTGCCACGGCAGAAACAAAGATATCCAAACCTGCAAGTCCAGAGTTGTTGTTCTTAACTTGTTAGCTATTGGTGCAAACGAAATTGCCACAGCAGAAAATAAAAATAAAAACGCATTTCTCGTGCGAGGAAATTTGAGAACTTCTTGTTGTACGTTTAACAGCATATGGCATATACTATCAAAATCAGTTTTAGTAATCAAATTGATTCTCATTCTAATTAGCAAGCATCTCGTTTTGGAAAACGCCAATTATGATTCTTTCTTATTCTGATTTTTTTTTTTCCCATTTTGGTTCAATCTTATTTCGATTTTGGATAAACAAAACATGCCATCAAACTTTGCAAAAAAATTGAAAAGTTATTTTAATTGATCTTTTATTTGCAGATATCATATGGGTACAACCCAACTTGCAATTGGGCCTGACTCCCACCCAAATGTAGTTGTTGCTAAAGGCTACACCTAGAAACGGGCCATCCTTTACATGCTATTTCATTGTGCTCAAGTGGGCCCACATGCACCGAATTCAAATGATAGCCCCAGTAGTAGGAGTGGCGCTACTGATAAACAAGGATTCAAGGTGAAGATCATTTAAGGAGGAAACACATGGATGATTCAGTTTTAACTCATCACTCACTCATTTCACCTACCCTATACTTCAAAAATAGGGTTACCCCAAGTTTCGAAGGAAGATGGGTTAATGATAATCTAAACTACGAGAAAGAGAGGAGTTTCTCACACACGCATTACCAATGTGTCATGTAGTTCGAACTTGAGATCAGATATCTGCAAGTTAAGTCAATTTTTTCCTCCACTAGACCCGTTGACTTCCATATCACCTTTGATGCCCCCACACACTAATAAGTGGAAGAGATCATTTGTACAAGACCAAGTACCCAACGTGTCCACATTTATACATGCTCGTATCATATATTAGTTTTCAACGTGAGGCCCATTTCAATTTTTGGACCAACAAACACTCATGCTCGTATCATATATTAGCTTATCTTTCTTCTTCCAGAAGAACAAGATAAAGTATGTAATTGATAATTGTTTTGTTTTGACATTTGGCGCCGCGTAATGATTTCGTAAGTGAGCCAATGGAATCTTTTGGCCTGCGCGCGCGCCAATGCAAATGCAGGAATGTTCCATGTTTGCTTCAAACGTGGAGCGTGTTTACGCCATCACCTTTATTTATTTATTTTATTATATTTGTTTCTTTTTCTGGTCGGCTTTTATTTTAATTATATTAAGTGATTGGAGCCGTCCGTTATAAAAGTTTGATTCTTGCTCTCATCTAGCTTCAACCAAAGTGAAAGAAATAATATCCTAAACATACGTTATACTTGTGTTGAAAACCAAATTAAATGCATAATCTAAGAGAATAATTTCCGTGCAATGCGGAGGATGTCGTTGTGGTAGTATTTCAAGCCAATTACATAATGTCATATGAAAATTAAAAAATTCATGACAATATGTGATTGACTGAATTACCTGGCATCCGTAACGTAAGTAAGTTATGAGGCCAATACTTTGTATTGTTTAATAATTTGACTCAAGAAAGCAATAGCAAGTCATGAGGCCAATGCTTTGTATTGTTTAATAATTTGAAGAGGATTCTTATTCATCTTGCACTAATTAATTTACAATTTAAATATATCACTGTACGGTCGTTTGTCTTATCTATATACGAAATTAGAATTTATATGGATTCAACTTGAATAATATTGCAGCACAAATTTATTTTAAGATACAAATTTATATAAATAAACAAGCAATTGAGATTAGGATCTGATCTGATTGACCAACACATGTAATTTTTTTCTATCTGTACTCTGTATATTATACTTAAAGACAAATAATATATACGTAGGTCTTGGGCCTACAGACAACTAGTTCATGTTGCATTCGCAAAATTAGTTTTGGAACAAGAGAACTACTTGGTGTCTCTATTCTTCTTCTTTTATTTTATTTTTAATGTAGCACTTGCATCTTTAATTGATGCAATCTGAATTGTATTAGAGAAGTACATCAACAACACAATGGGTGATGGTCCTATTTGAGCTAAAAAATTTATTTAAGTTGCTCCATTTTCTTTTTGTTTAATTCAAATTATCAATCAATTTTGCAGCGTCGTTGTTGTAGATCTGACATCGTATTGCCATCTTCTTATCTTATATCGAATATCCGGTGTGGTGGTTCAATATTGGTTTCAAGATTTGTTACACCGACAACACCAGTTCAGTTGGAAATTTCAGCCTATTGGTCCAACTTGGTTCGGTTGCCCAACCCTGTTATAGACAAACCCTTTTAATACACCACAAAGAATGAGTCTGGATTTGATGTCTCCAATCTTTATGTCTCCTATCTTATTAATTCGCACGTATCTAACCACTTAACCCTAATACAACTGTGTTAACTTTAAATAAGATAAAAACTAACATTTGAAAAACTAAAGGAGACACATGTGACTAGGGGATAGCAATGGCCCGGTTCGGGCCCATATTTGGCAATACCCTCTTTGTACTTGCACCCTTGATAAGAATTTTCACCGAATCCCCATCCCTGTCGTGAGGCTATCTCTATCCCGAATTTATGAGTTTTTTAAAAATTGAAAATACTTATTTAACGTTATAGCACTAATTTCACCTTAAACATTCATTCAACTCAAATCATACTCAGTTGAACTATAAAAATCAACTAAACTACTCACAATCATCTCAATTCATTTTGAAAAAATTAGATAAATATTAAATTATATATTACTAAAAAATAAATATATCATTTATCGGGCTAGGTTCGGGAACAGAGATAGCAATACTATCCCTAACCCGTTCTCAAACCATGAATTTTTAACATTCTAGAATACTCATTATAACATTCCACATCAACTAACGAAGAGGAAGTGATGTGTTTTATATGTACATACCCGCCTCTATCTAGTACGAGGCCTTTTGGGAGCTCACTGGTTTCGGAGTCATGAGAACTTCGAGTTAAGCGAGTTGGGGCTAAAGCAATCACAGGATAGGTGATCCACTGAGAAGTTGCTCTTGAGTTTCCAGAAACAAAACCGTGAGGGTAGAGAGAGGGGCCCAAAGCGGACAATATCGTGGTACGGCGAAGCCGATCTTGGGATGTGACAATTTGGTATCAGAGCCTCTGCCGTGTGGTGCGAGTGTGCCGACGAAGACGTCGGGCCCCTAAGGGGAATGAATTGTAACATTCCACATCAACCAACAAAGGGAGGGTGATGTGCCTTATATGTACATGTCTACCTCCATCTAGAACGATGCCTTGCCTTATATGTACATGCCCGCCTCTATCTAGAACAAGGCCTTTTGGGAGCTCATTAGCTTCAGAGTCACGGGAACTCCGAAGTTAAGCGAATTGGGGCTAGAGCAATCTCAAGATGGGTGACCCACTAAGAAGTTGCTCGTGAGTTCCCAGAAACAAAACTGTGAAGGTAGAGAAGGAGTGTCCAAAGCGGACAATATCGTGTTACGACGGAACCGATTCCGGAATGTGACACCCATACACGCTCTCAAATTTTCCCCAAAATATCCCCTTGTTTGCCATCCTTGAGTTGACCCAAGTCCCCCGCCCACTGTATTGGCAGGACCATTTCCATCCCACCTCACCCAACCACATTTCAAAATCTGGTGATGGGTTAAAGTTCACCCTACGTCAACAATGAAAATTAACCACCCGTCACCAAAACCACCGTTTTCATTGAAATCACACCCTAAAACAACAAACGTAAAACCCAAAAGTTAAAAAAGCTTCACTGATTGGAGTGGGTCGCTTGCTTTCCAAAACTAAGGGGTGTTTCTTCACTTCTGGGAGACTTGCTTGTGAAATAAAGTATAGATAATAAATCTAGAAATAAAAGGAAAGTCATAAATTCTGCCGTAACTTTTGCCGTGAACTGCAAAACATTGCAATCTTGAAATTAATTGCAAATGAGCAGTGACATTGAATCTAAGCGGTTTTAGATCGTCCTCAAATGTAAACGCAATCATTAAAGGCCCTTTAAGAATGTTTGGTTTCTGTTAAATCACCGTGACATTCATGACACGACAATGCATATGTGCGACATAAATTGATGGGGTTCGGATGCCCTGTGCACGGGTGTAAGGTGCACCCTACTCAGTCACCAATAGTGATACAAGGGAAGGGGACGATGCTTCCAAAGCCCAAAACTTTTATTTTCTCAACAAGATGCAATTGGATATCTGAAGTTCTGCAAATATGTCAAACTTCAGGGGTAAAAAACAGAATATAAGTCAAATAAGTTGAAAGCCAATGAACAGTCAGCAGCCCAATTTCTGATTGGTTGGTCATATTCTTCCCTTGCATTTTCCATGAGGAAAATTCTTTTTTCTCATATAGAAACAAATCATTGTTCGTTTGATTTATTTCTCAAATTTCCAAAATTTGTCCTTTGTTCTCAATGAAAGTATGTTTTTTTTCTGCCACAAGATCTGACTTCATATGCAATCTTGCCAAACTTACATCAAGCTATGCTTTAGTGGGAATTCTTGGAAACCCCCAAAACGAAAAGAAGCTTTCTTAGGCATGGCATTTTCCACAGGGGTCTTTGTAGGGTTTCAACCCTGATGGGTTAGGTATGAAGGATAAAAAAGATATATGAGGATGGTTCAGAGAATTTTTCAGCTATAATGTTTGAAGAGGGGCTGAGACGATATTCTAATTCCTAACCCGAACTCACCCAGTTTAGAATATATATAATTTAATTTTTATGTAAATATATTATTAAGATGTGTGCTGGTGGTACTACCTTTATAATGATGATGATGTGTTAGACATGTAGTTTTGACATATATTATTAATATTTTTAAATAGTATAGATTTTTAGTTAATAAAAATTGAATTGTTACACATGGTGTGCTCATAGTACTTTTTTCTCATTCAACAAAATAATTTTTTATTTTATTTTTTTCATAATATGTGTGTGAGAAATTTATCTTCCTTGTAGTTTAGACTATCGCTTATACTAAAAAAATAAATAATTATCCACAAAAAAGAAGATTGTAAATTCGACAGTAAATTCATGTTATCCATAATTATGAATTTTTTTTCTTCATACAAATGAAAACGTATATTTATTGCCAATAATTCAAATAGCATCTATGTATTTCAAATAACATATATGTATTGGGTCATAATTCAATCAAGAGATTTGACTTTACACTTAGAAATTCTAATGCGAGATTGAAGATTTATAAATTATACCTTTTGTTTGAAACCGCTTTCCTTCAGTATGAAGATTTAAGTTTGACCAAATAAAAATATTTATTTTCCCCCAGAAATACTTTGATCATCCCAAAAAAATGAAAAAAAAAAATCACAGCAAATAAATACAAGGATATACAACAACTCATAATATCTATCTATTGGGTAAAATGAAATCCAGCACTTAATCCACGGCAAACGACAGCCGTTGATCTGCATGACTTTTCCCACTTGGATTTTCCATACTCAATACGGCTGAGAACGCCACATTCCTCATCCCCTTCCAACAAATGCCAAACCAAACCGAAAGGAAAGAAACCAACAAAGCAATCAGAGAAACAAAAATGAAAACGGAAAAACACAAAGTACAGAAGGAAACGCAAAGATTATAACAGATACACAGAGAGAGAGGGAGAGAGAGAGTAGATAATAGAAGAAACAGCTGAACCAGTTGCCGTGTTGGTGAATCCCAGAAGGGACCCAACAATAGGATACGCCTGAGTCCAGGTAAACATTCCATTAAAAAACAATCTGATAGTTGAAACAACATAGCCCACTTCTCTCTCTCACACACGTCCTCTCTTTCTCTCTCTCTCTCTCTCTTTTGTCAAAGTTCAGTTTTTTCGTTTTTATATATAACCCCTGTATGATTCTGTCATCTGTGTCTCTCTCCAAATCTTCTTTTTATTTTGTATTCTTTTATCCCTCAACGTGCACAGACGCTCTTGCTCTTCTTCTTCACACAAAGAAAAAAAACAAGAATCAAATTTAGGTTCTACTCTTTTCTCACATCTCAAGCTGTCTTCTTTGCTTCTCTCTCTTTCTCTGTAACTTGAATTATTCATCAAGTTTTGATTTTTGTTGGCTAATTCTGTCGAAACGCATTCCAACTTTTCTGGGTTTTGTTTAATTTCTCTGTTGAGCTCAAGATTCAGCTGTCTTGGTATGTGATATCTGATTCTTGGCTGGTTCTGTTTTTATTTTGGGTTGTGCAAAGCTGTGAATTTCTGATCTGGGTTTTCTCTGTTTTGCATGACTGAATCAATATGGTTTGTTTTTAGTGTGGTTGCCTTGTTAGACTTCTGCAATTTGATATTCTGTACCTTGTGTGAACATGCAATTAGGGATTGTATTAGGAAATGAACGATTAGGAATTTTCTTTGATTAGACATAGTTTTTCCTACTAATTGTGTCATTATCAATGTATATATCTGATATTTTATTTTTATTAACTCTTTGGAAACAGGGTTACAATTACGTTCTTTAATTATATATTTTAGTTTTTTTGTTTGAATCCTCTGCTGGTCTCTTGTCGATTTTCTTGATGCATCATTTGTGTCTCTTCTGCTATATTTTTAAGTTCTTCTTCTCTGTCCCTATCATTTATCTCCTTGCTTGCTTATAAAAAATTATATTGTTTTGGAGGTTCATAGAACCAATACTTGAGCTAAATCTTTACGGCAAGCTCCAATATTCTTTGTTTTACCAGAATTATATACAACAATTTATGAATCAATATGTTCTTTTTAATATTTGGTGTTTGATTCTACAGCTGTTTCAAAGGTCTGAATTCCGGAATATTTTTGAGAAAGGGGTCTCAATCCTCCTCTGAGTGCGGTATTTAAGTTCCACAACGTGTTTGGACAATTGAGGAAAATGAGTATGTGACAACAGTTGTTTGGAACAACCCATCATTAGGTTTGGTAATGGGTTCTGCAAACATGGAGAAGAAATGGCTATTCCCTCTTGTCATAAGCTCTGTCATATGCATATTCCTTCTAGCCACTTCCTTGAACTTGGGTCTTGTCTCTTCACGACATGCAATCAATTCAATCTTCTCATTTTTCCCATATCGGGTAGTAGCAAACCAAAGTAGTCTAGCTTTTGCTGAGAATATAGTTTCACAAGGTCCGCCCCCTCCTTCAGTACCAGCAATTCCTCGTTTTGCCTATCTAATTTCCGGGTCGAAAGGGGATTTGGAAAAGCTTTGGAGAACTCTTCAAGCACTGTACCATCCGCTGAATCAGTATGTTCTTCATTTAGACCTTGAGTCACCAGTAGCAGAAAGATTGGAGCTTGCTTCACGAGTAGACAATGAGACGATGTTTAATACAGTTGGGAATGTATTTGTGATTAAGAAAGCTAATATGGTAACTTACAGAGGACCGACCATGGTTGCTAATACTCTTCATGCCTGCGCAATTCTTCTCAGGAGGAGTAAGGATTGGGATTGGTTTATCAACCTTAGCGCCTCAGATTATCCTCTTGTTACTCAAGATGGTAAGTCCATATCATTTAAAGTTGTAAAGTTTTCTTAGGATGTAAGCTTTTGTGCTAAAAGTAACTGTTTGATTGATTTGTGTTGTACAGATCTTTTTCACACCTTTTCACCTTTAAATCGAAATCTCAATTTCATTGAGCATACAAGCCAACTTGGTTGGAAGGAGTGAGCTCTCTATCTCTCTGTCTCTCTCTACACTCTCCCACTCTACTCCATGCACTCAACACATTAGACGTGTATAGAACTTCTAGGTATTATTACTTTAACTCATACTCTGTTAACTTGCTTTTTCCAGGGAAAAACGAGCAATGCCTTTAATTCTAGATCCTGGTCTCTACTCATCAAAAAAACAAGATGTATTTTGGGTTACGCCCCGCCGAACATTACCTACTTCATTTAAATTGTTTACTGGTGAGTATTGACATTGTTCTCCTCTAGTTATTTGGACTTCTGGCAAAAAATTTATGTAGGCAAAATCTTAAAATCTTAATGTTGAGAAGATTAACTGATATCATGTGTGCATCAGAAATTTTGTCAAATGTATGTTTCCATTATGACCTTATCTTGTATTTCTTGTTGCTTAATTTGTCATTTTTTTTTCTGCTGAGAAGTGGCTTCCAGGTTACTAGTATTGTATTTAGTGAGCCTTTTGGTGGATTTACTTATAAATACAATGTGGCTTGAACCGTTTGTTTGTAACATGTATGCTGGGTTTTTATTCCCAAGGAAAAGGTTTTATGGGAAGGTTGAATTTCTGGGGATGAATTTGAAATTTCCAAAGTTCAAGTTTGAACCATTGGACCAATTTGGAAACTGGACATATTTACTTTGAACAATTCTAGTGCCAGAATACATGAGGTGGATCATGAGATCACAAATTGATGAATTGTTGTTTGTTTAATATCCCTAACAAACCAAATTGTGTTGGCTCTTTCCGCATATGTTGTTCCAGTGCTACTTTTGATCAGTGCAAAATTAAAGTTAAAATAATCTGCACATTTTCTTCTAAATATAGTCTACCAGTAGATATTGAAGGTGGTTTGATAAATATATCAACAAATGGCAGTTCTGGTTCGAAGAACATAGTAACATGCACCCCTGCATGAAGGTTCAAGAAAGAAATTGCTTGTACCTGCTGCATTGTCAATCTTGGTTCTATACCTGCATTGTCACTCTTGGTTCCTTTCTTGCACAACTAATTAAAATGCATCTCTGTTGCAGGTTCAGCATGGATGGTCTTGTCACGGTGGTTTGTAGAGTACTGCGTTTGGGGTTGGGACAATCTACCGAGGACCCTTCTCATGTACTACGCAAACTTTGTTTCTTCGCCTGAAGGCTACTTTCATACTGTCATATGCAATGAGCCAGAGTTTGCTAAAACTGCAGTCAACCATGATTTGCACTATATTTCTTGGGATATTCCTCCAAAACAGCATCCTCATACCCTCAACATTAATGACACAAACAAGATGATTGCAAGTGCTGCTGCCTTTGCTCGGAAATTCAAACGCGATGACCCTGCCCTAGACAAGATCGATAAGGATTTACTTCATCGAAGAAAAGGGAGCTTCACTCCTGGTGGTTGGTGTGCTGGCAAACCCAAATGCTCCAGGGTTGGGAACCCAAACAAGATCAAACCAGGTCCAGGGGCCGAAAGGCTTCGCCGCCTTGTGGGTAGGCTTACTTTGACAGCTAAGTTTGGTCAAAACCAATGTAAATAGATTCTGTGGACATTCTTGCAAATCGAATTAGTAAAAGGAAAAGAAAAAAGTAAAATGAAGAGAAAACCATACTTCTAGTCTATCAACAAGCAAGACAACAGTTTGTTGGAGTTTAAGGGATCAAATTTTGATGCTAAGCTTGATAGAATGGAGACAAGTCAGTGTCCATTGAGCATTACCCAAAGTTGTCACATTCTTGAACCCAAAAAGGAGTTTGATCATAATTGTTTCGATAGGTTCTACATTTAGAACTTTTACAATCATACATTATATATTTAGTATACTGTTACTGTTCTTCCGTCTTGGTTCGTTCTTTTCTCCGAATTTGTGTGTTTTTCAGAGCTAGAATTTTTGATTGGCCTTGAAATGGAGATGGTTACAAATGGTCATGAAGCATCATTTGTTGGCAATGCAAATAAGTGATTGACAAAACTAATATGAGCCTCATCACTGCTTTACTGAATAGAAGTGCTAATAAATGATAACGGCATTGGCATTAATCATTAATCACGGGAGAGAACAATAAATTTTTGTAGGAAATTTCTGCTTTTATAATAATCATCATTCTAAGAAATGTGGGATTGATTACATCAAACTGTAAGAAAATTTCAACGGTTTGACAATTTAAGATGGAGGAGAATAACAAAACTAGCAGTTGGACCATTTAATAAAAAATGGCAATCAAGATGGGGGTACGGCGTCCACTTCAAATTTTGTTTTTTAAATCTTTCAATTTGTTATTTAATAAAATATTTAAGATAAATTTTGACGGAAAGGTTCACATTTGCTAACATATACAAACACAGAGACTAAATTGGCCAAATTTATAATACGGGGATTAAATTGATAGATGAGGTAAAACACAAGAACCATTTTGATATTTAAGTCTATTTAAAATCCATCCTTGTGTTTCTTTGAAACTATTAGCGTGAATTTAATAGCACAGAAAATTGATTTTTAACTAGTGGAATTAATCAATTTACATTACACACTCAAATCCAAAGTCCTCATTTCAAATATGTATTATAGGATAATACGGTAATACAGCCACGTGAGATAACTTATCTATATATTATAATATAAGTAAATATTTATTAATATTTTTTCCTAAAAAGGGGACAAACTAGGATTGTACTATCGTACTACTTTATGGATTCCCCGACCCTCCACATTTAGGTGTTGTGTATTTACCCGCATTTCGCAACATCTAGACCATCCTAATGATCTAAGACATGACACATGGCACATAAGCAAACTTTGAAAAAGAAAAAAAAATCTATAACTTAATTTAAATTTTAAAAGTAAAAAATCACAAAATCCAAGATTAAAGAAAACCAGAAAGGCAACTCCCCCTTCCCAACCTTATTCCCGCCACCCCTACCCAACCGAACGTCACCCAGGCCACCATTCAAGTCACCATTTTTCTCTCTCTCTCTCTCTCTCTCTCTCTCTCTCTCTCTCCCACATATCTACCCCTACAATCATGACATAAGCAGGTGTCATTACAGATGTAAATTACAAATCAAACTGGTTCTCCAAATTGTTGAATTTGGGGATATATATTTTTGGTAAATTGTGTATATTGAGAATGGTGGGTGAGTGGAACTGGAGAGGTTCATTCAAGGATATACCATTCCATTTTGATCTTCCATGTAAACACTTTTCACCCTCCCCCAACCTTAGCCCAGATTCCCCTTCCCCACCCCAACTCCTCCCAGGCCCTCTACTACCCCTCAACTTTCGTGGACTTTTTACTTTATTTTTTACTTAAACAATAAAAGAATTGTTAATTTTAAACACTTTTCTTTTATGAAAAAAAAAATTAAAATTAACACTTATATTGCTGATGTGTCATGTTTTAAACGGATAGATGATTAGAATGGGCTCAGGATCCCTATTCTATAAACGCCGTTTGGATGAAGGAATTGAAAATTACATATAATTCCAAAATGAAAGAATTTAAATTTCCATTATTTCACTTTCTGGCAATTGAAAATTCCTGTGTTTGGATTTATGCATGTCAAATTTTGTAAATGACATAATTTTGTAAATAGCACTATGAAAATTATGAAATAATGCCTATTTTAGTATAAATTAAATTCGGGAATTTGATACCCCAATTTCCCGGATTTTTTCTGCATGTTATTTAATAAATTCTGCCCTAAATCCACGATGAAACAATGAATTTGAGCCATAATGCAGCATTGAAGCGTTCTTTTTTTGTTAGAATTTTGCATTCCATGAATACTGCAACCTCCTTTTTTCTTTTTCTTTTTCCCGCCGACATGGCATTATAACATCGAGTCCTGCATCGTCATATTTTCAGTGTAATGAGGCAGTGTGCATACGAACTGCCGCATAAATTGAGAAAAGAAAAGTTCAAAGGAGAAAAAGTTAAGCTTCTAAACATTTCAAAAATAAAAAACATCTTTTATATATGTTTAATTCAATGATTTTCCAGGCCATTGACAATACAAAAATGATGCCATTGGTAACTCAAATGTCACTCATGAAAGTGATGGCCTTGAACGTGGTACAAGAAAGAGATGCATTTCAAAATTATGGTTATATAAATTGATTTTGAATTGAAAACATTACAAATTATACAGAAATTCCAATTTTTACCTTTACTTTTCCTATAAATTTCTATCTAAATATGGCATTTGAACAAGAAACATTCTCACTTTTCACATTAACCACATCCCGCTATGATCTAATACCAAAATTTACTGTGTTGCTTGCAACAATGAGTTCCTATGACCTAAAGCCTAGGAGCTAACAAGCTTCTCTGGCATAAGATTATTTTACCTCATTTTCTTCCCAACACCCATCCTGCCAGATTCAAGAATTTACCTTGGAGAGCATAAGGTTAAAATCAAATCAAACCATCTCCAAAATTTTGATATTCCCGGTCGAATTTGCAGCAATTAAGGTGGAGGACTGGCCGCGCCAACAAACAGAAGAGATAAACTGTGCAGCATCATCTGCTTCATGGCCAGAAAGTGGGTCTGTGTTCTGAAACTTGTATGATAATGTAGGCATTGGAAAAGCCTTGTGGTAGATGAAAACCTGATCAACCAATATAAATAAACATTAACTATAATATGTTAAGATTTCTGAGGAGGGAGCTTTTGTTCTTCAGGCCCAAAATAATTACTACTCTATATTGTCTGCATCTTGATGATGAGCAGTTGTTATATTACCAATATAAGGTTTAGAGTTTGGTCAATTACTAAATTACTGCTGTCACTAATCTAAGGAAAACCATTTACTGCCAGTAAATCAAACAAAAGAAGATGCATTCTCCGTCTGTTCAAAATTTAATTGGCACTTTTCATGTGAGTGACAATTTTAATTATTAACTTTAAGAAATGCAGAAAGAAGGCTCCAAAGGCTCGGGGTTCATCATTACTAAACAGATAGGTAAGATCCTTCTTAGGCTTTGATAAGCATAAATCTTCCTAATTTATAGCTATAAGAGGCAAATTTTCTTGAAGTATAAGAAGAAGCCTTGAAAAGCTCTAGTTGGACGTTTTTTCTTCTAAACGACGGAGTTCTCCAGAGAAAACGCAGGGGCTCATAGCTTTAGTAGTAGAACACTTATCCCCATAACCAATATTAAAGTTCACCCTCTCTCACTTTAGGCCTCCATTGAACCCAATAGAAAGAGGTTTCCAGAGAAAATAAGAAAATAGAAATTTTGGGTTCCTGTTCATAGCATTTCAGAAACAAGGTGAACAACTTGAAAAGCATGGGATAAATAGAAGATGATTATCTAGAATAATGACTAAATTACCTCATTAGTCTCTGAGCCTGTGGCAATGTAACCATCAGAAATTGACAAACCCACAAAGTTCTGCAACAAGGGAAACATGCATAAGCTATAAACCACCATGGCCATATTTCACTTGCATTCAGTAGATGAAGATAATATCAGGGCTCAAATAACTTTGATAGATCCCAATGACTGACTTTAAAAAACTGTATAAAAGTATTTATTCATAAACAATCCACTCTTCTTAGTGGTTTTCCTTCACAAATATTTATAACCAATGAAGATGGAAATTGAATAAGAAGCTTTTGCAATTAAGAAACTCATGGTGGAAAACTTTTGGTCCACCAGAAAGGATAAAAGAAATTTAAATCAGGAAACTGGTCAATGAAGAACAAAATTTCATTGTAAATAGAAATATAGCATAAGCTTAGATCATAGAATCAGCCTATGTTGGAGGTGCTGAATATTAACTCCTTATTGTACTAACACTATGGCATAACTCTAACATTGTAAACACAGAGAACAAATCTTGTATGATTGCCAAAAAAAAAAAAATATCAGCTCGTGTTTGAGCTCCTGAAGATTTACAAAAACATTTGCATCTAGTAGAACACAAAATTATCACGAACCAGTTACTTTCAATCTCATATATGTAATAGTGCATATTTTGAAATTCTTAAATACAGCACAGATAACTCTTCTATTTATTTTTAAAAACAGTGATCTGAAGAGCTGCCAAAAACAGTGACAATATCTGTCAATAATGTATGGCTAGAACTGCTTTGATATAATAAACGAGTGAAAGTACCTTCACATTTGTGTGGCCGGTAAATGATAGAACTGGAGTGTCAATGACCCGAGATATGCACGTTGACAAATCCCAAAGCTTAAGAGTATTGTCAGTGGATGCAGAAACAAGATTCATCGTATCTACAAACTTAACATAACTCACGGTTTTGCTGTGGCCGACCAATGTGCACAGAGGAATCTTTGAATTACGAAGATCATAGTAATAAATTTTATGATCCGCTGACCCAAATGCAAGGGATCGACCAGAGTCCAGAGGAAACTGTACACAGCAGACATTGGCCTTTGTTTTTATTGTACCAATACTTGCTCCCTGTAGAAGAAATCCAGATAAGAGAATCAACTTATCATACATCCAGAATTAGATATACACAGCATGCAAATAGATGACTGCAGTACGTTTAGTTTCAAAGCTGACATCCACCAAGTGGAAAAATAGAATTGCCTGATTGATACTCCATAGCTTAACAGAACCATCATCACTCCCGCTGGCCAACATTGTTGGATCTGCTGATGAAAAGTCAATGGACCATACACGCCTCTCATGCTCTTTCATCTCCATAAGTACTTGACTTCTTATGACATCCCATACCTGAAGATGTAAGCAATTAGTTAAAACAAACTAATATATGGCAGATATGTGAATCATGAGTAAGGCTTGACTCACCTGCACCACACCTTCAAAGTTGCTTGAAGCAA